TCCCTTCCACAGGGGATCTTCCTGACCCAGGGATCAAACCCGGGTCTCCTGCATTGCAGGTAGATCCATTACCATCTGAACCACCATAAAGAATGACTGCATGGATTTATGAATTAACATGGTAGCTTACCCTTGGCCCCAATTGTTTCTGAACTTTTCAAGACCAAAACCCAATCCCAGCGGAGCAGGGACAAAACAAAGCTGTTTGATTTGTCAGGGTCACTTCCCAGCCAGTATCCTGAGAGTCCGGGTGAGGCCATCTGGTCTACCCCAGCGGTCCTTGTGTTTAAAGTTCAAATGCCCACAATGAGCCCTCCCACGTGGGACAGGGCAGACAGAGCCACCCCAGGGCCCACCTGCTCACACATCTCGGCCGCCAGGGCCTGGCTTCCCGTGGCTCCAGGTTTACACCTCCTCCAGGACCAGACGCCACTGCCAAGGGAGCTTGTTCAGTGACTGACAAATCCTAAATGCCAGCTGTCATCGCTGGCATCTCTGCCATCTGGACCCAAGCGAAGTGCAGCCTGCCCATCATGGGGCCACAGTTAAGGCCACTTGAGACCCGGCCACCTGCAGTCTTGCAAGGCAGACGCCAGGGGAGTCTTCAGGCCTGCCAGTGGGGTGGGGACCCTGAGGCCCTCTGTGTGGCCGACCGTACGCCTGCCTCACTCCGGTGTATTCGGCACTCCTTCCTGCCACGTGCTGGACTGGCGGGGGTGGAAACATGAGAAGCTGGCACAGCCTCTACCGCGTGGCTCCCAGGAGACTCACAGCACAGGTCGTGTCTCCCAGTGTGGACGTGGTTATGTGAGGCTACCTCCTGCCTCCCCAGCAGCCCACCCCCCGAGGTAGACATGCGTCTATGGGTACCGCGTGAATTCTGTGCTTCTATGGCCTGTACCTGCATGAACTTGAAAAAGGTGCCTGCCCCTTTCTCAAGGCCCTTTACTTGCAGCTGAGAGCCGAAATCACCACCAGAAACATATGGTTCTATGACGGCCATGACCAAATTGTATCCTCTGTAGTTGTGTGCGCAGCCTGCACAACTGTACTTGGCAGGGCTGAATGCCCACCTCCTTTACCTTCCACGGCTCCCACTGCAGGAAGCTTCCAAAGGAGGGTACTCTTAGGGTGTGTTAAACTGCTCTCCTGCCCTGTTCAGAAAACACGTCTGAAGAGAGCACAGCTGGAGTACAGCTTTTTTTCATCACACAGAATCTCACCAAGAGTAGATGTTGTGGCCTGTAGGGAGATTCAGGGAGAATGGGAACGAGGTTTGGCCCTGAGGGGCCCACAGGTGACAGCTTCGCAGGTGAAAAGGTCCCCCCAGAGGCTTGGGCGAGGCTGGAGGGGACCCCCATGTACAGGCTGTGCGGGGGCCCCTTGTTAGGAGGATTTGGAAGGAGAGAGACTCGCATTTGGGGAAGGCTCCTTCTTGAGACCTGGGGTGTGGGATTTCCCGGTTGGAGCCCGTGCCCAGGGATTGTGCCATTCAGACAACATCAGAATGCACTCTTGTTTTAAGGGAATGACTCTTGCATTGGAGTTTCTATTGCTTTTCACGAATTGCTACTGAGATTGCGGGTTTCCATCAGCCTGAGCCTGCCTTTCCACTTCCTAGGCCTAGCTAGCTGCATACAGTAGGCACTCCACAATGCTGAGCTGCCCTGCCCTCTGCGGATGACAGGAACTGACCTGGAGGCCTCTTCACTTGAAACCCTGCGGTCTTCCTCAGCCCCTGACGCTGCCACCCCTGTTCTCCACGCTGTGTTCCTTGGCCATTTTGCTCCATTCCATGTGGCGCCAAGCTGGGTAACCCCCAGGATGCAGTCACGGTCTCCTGGGGAGATCCACATGTGGGAATGCTGATGAGAGCACTTCTCCCTGTTGTAGGGGAGCACTGCCCTCACCTGCTCTGCAGAGTCCCTGCAAAGAAGGTATGAGTGCTCCCACTTTGCAGATGGGAAAAGTGAGGCTCTGAGAAGCTAAGCTGGTACGTGCCTGGGTCGGGATTCAAACCCAGGTCTGTCTGTGAATGAAACTGAGATGGGTCATGATGGGCAGGGAGCCAGGGGCTATTCAGTTCCTGAACTAATGTAGGAGAGAGGAGTTTGGACTGTCCTTTAGATCGGGGATGAAGGAGTCTGGTGTTTTCTCGGCGAGCAGGATGACAGACACACAGGTCGGGGCAGCCTCAAGTGAGTCAGGAGTTGTTCGGTGAGTTAGGAACTGCTGAGAGGTTTAAGAGGGAACCATCAGCCGGGGGGCGGGGCGGGGGGGGGGGGGCGGTGGTCCTTACAGGAGGAGGCAGTGGGCACATTCAAATATTGGCCCTCCCTTAGGATGGTTGGTGTTAACGTGTGCTGCCTACCCGAGCTCAGGTGGGTTCTTTGCTAACTCCTCCTGAAGTCCACAAGGCGTGCCTTGCTATTATTACCACTTTGCCAAGCGGGACCCTGAGGTTCCAAAGGTCAGAGTGCCCTTGGGGTCAGAGCAGAGCCAGGATCTGAGCTGGGCTCTGTGTGACACCCTTACCCACGACGCCCAAACACCCCCGCCCTGTGCTGCCAGTAGGGAGGGTGCCAACCACGTCCAGACAGCCACACTGTCCCCAACAAGTTTCCCCAGCGTGGGGGACAGCTGAAAGGCTGTCGTGAGGCGGGGGGGTGTCATCTGGGGGGTGGGCAGAAGAGCTGGCCCACGGTAGGGCCTCATGATGGAGAGCAGGACAGGTTTGCCTTGGAGCCAGGCAGAGACCGGTATCAGGGGCCATGTGGGTCCCCAGGGAACCACAGGGCTCCGGCCCCTCGGAGCGGGCATCGTCTTGGGAGTTTCGAGGGGCTCCTGCAGGGGGGCTTGCAGGGGCAGAAGGTGAGGCTGCGGCAGCCTGGGGAAGCGGCCAGAGTGGGTGGCGGGCTTGTACCCGAAGAGCCAGGGAGCCCTCCAGCCGGAGTTCAGAGGCAGGAGAGGGGTGGTCAGGGGACAGTTGTGTCTGTGTTCTGGTTGGGGAAGACGGGGGATGGAAAGTGAAGAGGCTAGTGGGGGATCCGCCCCCTTGGAGCACCAGCTCTGCCCCCCCTCCTGCGGTTCCCAGGTGCTGGCTCCCAGCCAAGTGGATGGCGGTTAACGGGATAGCTCCCTGGGGCTCTCGGGTCCCACCGCAGGCTGTGGGCATCCTCCAATCTGACCTCACAGGAGTCCCGGGAGGCCTGCGGCGTGTTCTCAGCACGCTGTGATGTGAGGGGGCCTAAGGCTCAAAGAGCCCAGTCTCCGACTAAGGCCAGGCCAGCACGTGACCTGCCCACAGGCTTCCAGGCCTGGACTCCAGGCCACGTTCAGTCCCAAACCTGGGGCTCCTGTATCCAGCAGGCTGACCCCGGGGCTGGAGGCAGAGCCAGTGCCCAGGGACTGACCCCCTCCTCCCAAGTTCCTAGACCACCCTGGACTACGACCATCCAGGATGGTGTGGTCTGCCTGTCGTCAAGGTGTGTGTCCACCGCGCTGGCCCTTTCCTGGAGGACAGGGTCACACCCACGAGTTCTTTTGTGCGGCCTCCGATGTGTGGGCCGGGGGCTCGGGAGTGGGGCAGGACACCCGTGTGTCCTCCGGCCGTAGCCCCCCACCTCTCAGGAGCTCCCTGGCTCCTCCGTCCCTGCAGGGTGATGTTCTCGGCTACTGCCCAGAGCTGGGTCCCAGCTGCCCTGTCCCTCCTCCTGACTGCTGGCCTGGGTTGTGGGGCTGCTCCCGCAAAGCTGAGGCCACGGGATTCCTGCAGGTGGCAGACTCAGCGCTGGGCAGAGCTGATCTTCAGTCCTGGGACCTGGAGCCCCGTCCACGCGTTCTCAGTCCGCATCCCGGGCCTCTCCCTCCGGCTGGGGCCCTTCCCCTTCGCCCTGCCCTCCCACCAGCCAGCCCCTGAGGACCCTGGACAAAGCCTCCTGTCTGCACCAACCCCCCCATCCCCAGCGACTCTCCCCCTCCCCCTGACTTACTTCCGGGGCAGCGGGGACTCCTGGAGGGAGGGAGCCCGGAAGGTGGGGGGCTCCGGGGGGTTCCCCTGCTCCTGGTGCTGGGTGCTGCGGGCGGCGATCAGCTGGCGACGCGCCCGTCCTGTGGATGGTGGGAGGTTTTGGCCACCTAAGCAAAGTTGGAGCTTTTGGGGTTTCTTTCCTTTAAGAAAAAAAAAAAAAAGCTGTGCCAAGCGGCGATTGCTGTGGCTGCAGGGGGAGCCCGCAGCCCCTTCCTCCCCACCTCCCCCCGCCCCAAAGAGGCTGGGCTGGAGTGACCTGCCCCCTTCCGCTGGAAGCCCCCGCTCCCCGCCCGCCGGCCGCCCCCTCCGCCGGCCTGCGGTTCCTCTGCGCGGCCGGCCTGCGGTTCCTCTGCGCGGCCGGCGTCACGCCGCCGAGCCGCCGGCAGCTTTGTGGGCTCCGCGCAAGAGCGAGGGGGGCCCCGCGCGCCCCCGGACCGGAGGGAGGGGTCGCCGCGCCTCCCGGTGCGGCCGCGGCTGCAGGGAGCGAAGAGAATCGGCGGCTTCTGTAAAAAAAAAAACAAAACAAACAAAACAAGAAACCTTTCGGGAGGAAAAGAAAAAGGAAAACTGCTGCCTCATGTCTCCGCCGGCCGAGGGCCCCGCGCCGGCCGGGGCGCCGCGTGCGGCCGGGCCCCGCGCGCGCCGCGCCCCCCGCGCCCGCGGGCCGCTCACCGTGCCGGGGCGCCCGGGGCCCGCCCGCGCCGCCGCCGCCGCCGCCGTGCATGACTCCTGCCTCCCGCTCGCGCCCGCTCCGCCCGGCCCCCCGCTCCGAGCCCGCCCCTCCCGTTAGCCTGCCCCCAGCTGCCTCCGCTCCTCCTGCGCCGGCTCGCCGTCTCCACGCTGCCTGCCTGGGTCGGGCGAGCTGGGGTGATTAATTGGCTACGATGATGAACGTCCCCGGCGGAGCCTCGGCCGCGGTGATGTTGACGGGCTACAATAATGGGCGCTGTCCCCGGAACTCTCTCTACAGCGACTGCGTTATCGAGGAGAAGACCGTGGTCCTGCAGAAGAAAGACAATGAGGGCTTCGGGTTCGTGCTCCGAGGGGCGAAAGGTAAGAGCCGGCGGCTCCCGGCCTGGGTGCCTCCACATGCGTGCGTGTGTCTGTGTGTGTACACGCCTGTGTGAACAACGTTCCCCAGCTCAGAAGGAAGCCCTTTTCCTGGGGTACTCGGTTGCTAGACAACCGTGTTCTTTCACATCCTGCCTTTTTAAACACCGGGGCTTCCTTCAGGAATATTCCCAATTTTCTGTACACAGTGTTGCTCCGAGCAAGCTCCTTCTCTCCCTCGCTGTCCTCTCTCTCTCCCTCCCCCCACTTCTTTTTAATTCATGGGTTTCATCTGTGTGTTGTGGCTTGGTTCAGACTGGTTGTGACTGGCTTCGGAGCTCCTGGTGTCAGCCGCCCAGAATTACCCAGTCCCGAGTTTCCCTCAGGGATTTCTGAACTGCCCCGTTCTGGGAGTGGGCTTCGGCCCCGAGTGCAGCAGGCGGCTGGGCGCCCGCCTCTAAGGTGACTTTGCAAAGGGAACGTGGCAAGATGGTCCCCTCCGCCCTGGCCCAGCCAGCCTCACACACGTCACGCGGCCCACGGTGGGGGGCTCCGGGAACCTGGTCCGCGGCGGTGCGGCCCCCTGCAGCTCTGAACTCGGGAGGGCCCCCCCAACACTGCCAAAATGAAACAAAATGGCATCTCCTCCCGGTGAGAGGAGACATCTGTGCCCCGCGCGTGTGGGGAAACCATGTGCAAGTTTGATCTCGGAGCCTCAGGGCTGCGCTGGGGGGGGGGGGGGTCCCCGCACTGTGCTGCAGGGGGAGGCGTCCTGCTCCAGAGCCAGCCCCACCTGCTCCAGGCAGCGGCCCGTCCACGGGGAGGGGGAGATCGCTCTGCCCCTGAGAGTCCATGACTGTGAGGTGTCTCCCCTCCCCCGGCCGAGGCCGGCTTCCTCCCCCTCCCCCCCCCACCCCCAGCCCCTCGGGACCACCCAGGAGCGTCCACCTCTTGCCCTAGAGTTTGGGTCCGCAGCTCTGGCCCCCGGAAGCCAATGCTGGCTCTGCTGAGCAGCGGGGCCCCAGCCCTCCTGCGGACGCTGGCCACAGAGTGGCCACAGGGAGCCGGGCTCCCGGCAGAGAGGTCTCATAAGCAGATTCCAAATCTGCAGCCACCCACTGGGTCAGCGTTCTGCTCCGTCCACGCTCCAAGTTGAATTCCCTTGGTTGCAAGTCTACGTAGATGTAAATTTGGCAAGCGGTTCAGTGTGGTGTTTCTGTAGCTCCATGTGGTTATGGGGGGAACTTTTCCATTTTTAGAACTGAAAATGTTTAGTCACTGATGCTTTTAAAGAAAATGACAGGCATGTACATATAGACATGGACAGGGGGGCACGGTATCCTGTGTGTTTTACGCACAGAGGCTGAGAGGCACCAAAAAGCAGTTGGGTCCATTGCTTTAGTTGGTGTCGGCCCATGACCATGAGTGTCAGCCCCTTCCCAGGGGAGAGCTGGCCTGGGCCACCCGCTTCCCACGGAGACACAGGGCCTGTTTCCTCCCAGGGTCCCGTGGGAGGCCTGGGCTAACCTGCAAACATTTTCCAGCCTTGTAACGAGGTACACCTTGTCTTCCCAGCGGATACGCCCATTGAAGAATTCACGCCCACGCCAGCGTTCCCGGCCCTGCAGTACCTGGAGTCTGTGGATGAAGGCGGGGTGGCATGGCAAGCCGGACTGAGGACCGGGGACTTCTTGATTGAGGTAGGGACACCGGTGTTCATCTCCTTCTGCCTGGGGAGAGCGCCGGCTCTCTTGGGGTTGGGTCTGTGGTCTTGGCGACGTGGCCAGTGAGCCAGGCTGGGGGCCCTTGTGGAGTCCGCCTTGGCTGGGGGCTTCCTCGGTTGTTTCCACCTATGGTGGATGTCATTTCCTGCAGACAGCGCGTTGGGATTGTCTTTGAGGCCTTGGCTTTATCTCTTTGGAGGCTGGCAGTGTCTGCAACTTGGCTGTTGATCTTGAAGTAGAAGGTAGAAGTAAGAGGAAGCTGGTTGCCCTGATGTCAGGGACCTGTGCAGGTCTGTGGGTGGCTTAGCTGTGGTTGTTTGGATAGATACAAGAGAAGCCGTGGCCCATGCTTGTGTCCTGAGGGCAGGTGGAAAGCTCGGTGCCGTGGGTCTCGCTCCTGTGAGGTCTGTAATGTCAGTGGTTGAGAGTCTCGATTTTCAAGTCGAAGTAACTGGCCTGTCAGATGGGTGATGATCCTTGAAAGACCAAAGAATCTGGGCAAGTTGGGTGGCTGGAGCTAATGGTGCCAAGAGGAAGCTTGTAGATTTAGATGCTGTGAAAACCAGCCTTTGCTAATAGGTGAATGGAGGGAGCCCTCTCGTCATTTAAGAAAATCCCACCAGACCTGGGTTCTCAGCCGCTGCAGGTCTTACCTGGCGTTGCCATGCTGTGTGCACGAGGTGCCAAGCTGCTGGCACGCCTGAGCCCCCTGCCTTTTGCGGGTTTAGGTGCTACTTTCAAAAGGAACGTGTTACTCTTTGGAAATATCAAGAATAGAAGAATATGTTGTGCCTTGAAAATATTCTAAGACGCTCGGTAAGCTCAGATGGCCCCCACGGGGAGTTCACATCTCTTGGAAGAGCGTTCCTCTGGGCTCACCCTCAGCCCTGTCTCGTCTGCTCTGGAAAGGCACCGCAGGTGGAAAGAATGGTTGCACGATCTCCAGCCTGGTGCTCCGGGCCTCCGCCGTGGGGCCAGCCAGACACTTGTTCATTCTGGAAAGGAGGAGATCCAGGTCATGGTGAGATGGCCGCTTGAGGCCATTCGTCTCTTATATGCCTCAGCTTCCAAGAGTGCTTTCTGAGCTGCAGTTCTGTTCCTGATCTCCTGGGTGTTTCTAAGGAGGATGTTTCTAAGGATGGAAATCTGAAGGAAAGATGCTGTTAGAAGAGAGACCCAGGTAAAATGGAGAAGGTGCTTTACTTTATTCCAGGCATAGTGTGTTGATGTCCCTTTATGTGGTGGGGGGAAAAAATGTATTTAAGTGATTGCTGACCAATCAGAGCCCGGCTCAGATGAAGAGTTGTGCTTCTTCAGGTTCTTGTTCATTTAAACTGTGGAATGCATATCCAGCATGGTGGAGACTGGAGCCCGTGGTGATTTCACGGGTTAACTCGATTTGTAACCTCATGAAAATGCAGAGAGACTGGGTTGAATCATCTTCTGTAGGATGCAGTTGTGATGTAAGTTCCCTTCCCGTGTCTGTGTGTGTGTGTGTGTGTGTGTGTGTGTGTGTGTGTGTGTGTGTGTATGAGAGAGACAGAGAATGCAGTAGGGTGACAAAGCTGTTGCTGGTTCTTGGTTTTAAATAATAAATGAGGGCTGCAGATGCAGGAGCATCCCTGTTAGTGAGGCTCGTCAGATTGTTTCCTTGATAAACTAGTCAATAAAGAAGCGTGAGGCGGCCGTGGAGCGTGCGCTGGGCCCACCCCTCTCCCAGACAGCAGAGTCGCGCTGGGTTGGCAGAGGGGACCGCAGCACTTGCCTGGGCCGGGGGAGAAGGCAGGCTGCCCGGGTCAGCTGGAGGGCTCCATGGAAATCAGGAGCATGAAGAATTTGTGTCCTTCTGTTTTCAAAGCACCTCCTCTGACATTGCTTTTAACCTCTGATATGCAAACATGTTTGCCATTTTGGAACAGCTTTCATATTCCATGTGACCTCTGAATTCCAGGATTCCAGGCATCCTGGCCCAGAGCTGCCTTAAGGTTCTGTTGGTCTTTTTATGACCTGGAGGAGGGATGGGCCCCAGACAGCCCCAGGCCCTATCAGGCTGCTCCCCAGGGGTCCTCCTCTAAAGAGGCGGGGGGTGGGGGGGGCGGGACGCTGGGAACCCACTCCTCCTGTTTCATGCCAAGGTTTCATTGATGGGGGCTCAGAAATTCTCCTTCAGGTGCTTGGGGTTAAAAGACCAAGGCTCTCCATTGACTTGCTTTCCTCGCTGCCCGATCCCACCCCTGGAATAGTAAAATCACTTATAGCCCTAGAGGTGCATGTTTTTTCCAACAGAAAATTTTTCTACTATTTTCGGTGAAAAGCTTCAACCTTGGAGAGACTGTTTAGACTCGCATGCTTTGGTGGATCTTTGGCTTGAATGGAAGCCATGCTGGAGGCTGGGGTTTCTGGGCTCTTGGTCAAGTGCAGGGTCCTAGCTTCAGGCTGCAGGTGCGGGTGGACGCGGGCGGACGCGCCACGTCTGTCCACATCCCTTCCTCCCACACACAAGCCTTCCTTTCTCTCTGCTGTTGGAAAGGAGCGCAAAGCCTGTCCGGTATTTATTTTCTCTATAAAGACCCATGCTGCAGTCTGAACTTTGGGACTGAGGGGCAGCTTCTGAAGCGAATGCTCCCTCTCTAAAGTCTTCAGCATCTCCCGAATGTCATTTTCCCCTCTTGGACTTTGTCAGGATGCACACACGGTCATCTGGCCGGCGTTGACCCCTGTCAAGAAGGGTTTCCTTTGTGCATGCGTTTCTGGGGTGCCCACTCTGTAAATTTCCTCTCTCTGCCCTGACTTTTGGGAAGAAGGAGCCTATGTTTAGCTGTTGGTACTGTTTCTTTGATGACCACGCCCCTCCCCTCCCCCCAACAAGCCAAACTTTGAGTAGAGCTCCGTGGAAAAAGGCTGTCTTCCAGCTGGGGATGGGTCTTAGTGTGAGCAGTGTGAAAAGTCCCCTCAAGGTGGAGGACAGGGGGTGGGTGCTCCATGCATGGGGACGTTCAAACAGGTGGCTCCACAGACCATGCGTGTTTACCGTTTTCGGATCAGTTTGATGGGCAGAGCCCCCGGATGGCCAGGGACACTGAAGCTTGCCCAGAGCGCTCTTAGGGCGGCGGGAATGGGCACAGTGGGAGCCGAGTGTCCCTTTGGGACCTGGGGGGAGGTGATGCTCAGAGAAGTGGGTGGTGGCAGTGAAAGTCCAGAGGGAGAAGCAGGTGGCAGAGTTAGGGCACATTTCCTCGCTTGCGAGTCAAATGTGAGGTTGGGGCCACCATCTGGCCAGGAATGATTCAGGCCCACGTCTCTTTTGGTTACAGCAGGAAACCCAATTGAATACTGGTGAGGCTTGCCGGAGAGTTGAAATCGAAGGGTCCAGAGGCAGAGTCCGCCTCAAGCGCAGTGTGTCGAATGTACTCCGTCTGCTGTTTCTTTGAGATTATCTGGGTGAAGGCTCCTCAGCCCCCTCGAGGTGGGGCAGGAGGGGCCGCTTATGAGGAGTCATCAGGAGGATGTAGATGTCACGGGTGACAGTTTCCTGTGGAGTAATTCAAGAGATTGGAGGTGGGGATGCCATTTGGATTCCTGCAGGGACTCAACAAACTGGAGCAACTCCCAGCCTCACCCAGTGAAACTCGGCGGGGCACCAGCGTCACCTGCAGACCTCCCAGAGACCCTGAGACCTGGGCTCAGCCCACACCTACACAATCAGAATCACGAGGCAGGAGTGTCGGTGTTTTTAGGGTGCTTCAGTGATGATGCCAGGGGTTCCAGTGGGCAGGCAAGATGAAGACCAGCTGGCCTCATCATGGTTGCTCTTTGAACCTTTTAATTTAGCATTCTAACAAAAAATTAGAAGCAGGCACTGTGCTTATCTCGTTGTCTCAAGACCAGGACTGGGTTTATTCCACAGACCTCCCCATGTGGAAGACTGAGTTTTTTCTCCTGCTTTACTTTAGTATAATCTAAAATATCTTATATCTCAAGACTTGCTTATAATACAGCTAAACAATAAACATCAAAAGAGCAAACAGCATTACAGTAAATACAACAAAAGGCTCATATCCTTATCTATAATCATCAAGGGTGTGTCTGCCAGGCATTTCACTACCCATCCAGCCATCAAAATAATCCTATAAAATAGCATCCGTGTCATCTCCATACTACAAATGAGACTGAGGCTCCGAGAGGTTTAATCACTTGCCCAGGGTCACACAGCAGGTGAGCTAAAAGTCCAACCCAGGCTGTCTGCGTCAAGACCACCACTGCTCAGAGATGCTGAGAGATGCTTTGATGTGCTGGATGTGTGCATAGGCATGGAGTAAGAAAAGGTACAAACGATTAGATCCCAGTGTTACTTTCAAATTAGCAAACACTTTTTTTTTTTTATTACTGTACCCATTGCTGGTGACAGCACTTCTAGGTTGCTACACAAAAGAATAAATTGCCATAAAGTTTCTAGAAATCAATGTGACCGTATATAATAAGAACAATAAAGCTGAACCAGGAATTTTACATCTAGGAAGCCATCCTAAGGGAATGATCTTAAAAACACTGGGAAGAGATCACAGTGCCTCAGAAAGAAAGAGGTGGTGGTAGAGGGAAATGGTTAAGGGGGTACCATGCATCTGTTGTGGATTTATAAGAAAGCATCAGAAATTATGCTTGCAAGAAGTTCTTCCTACCAACAGGAAACAGTTGCCTTATATTGGGTGAAGAGGGAAGAATTAAAGTTATCTGCACAACATCATCTAAATTGTACCACCTCCCTCCAAAATAACCATAGAAAAATAAGGAAAGAAAGCGTTAACCTGTAGGTGATGAGATCACTTGCGGTTATTTTCTGTCTGGCAGACTTCTGTCTATTTCTCAGATTTTCTAGAATGACAGTATTCATTGTTGACAGGGATTCATTTCATAAACAGAAAATTATTCCTTAGAAGAAGCCATCTCACGTAGATGAGCACTATCTTAGCCTTCAT